AAAAAAAAAAAAAAAAAAGAAAGAAAGAAAAAAGAAAAAATACAAACAAATCGAATCGAAAAGAAAGGAAGAAATAAATCAAGATCAAAATAAAAAATAGAACGAAACCCCCAGGGGATTAAGGTGAAAGCAACAGGCTCTGTGAATCGACCCCCGTAAAAAAGAAAAGAAAAGAAGGAGAAGGGATAGAGAAAGGGAAAAAGAAGGCCGAATGGAGCGAAAAGAAGAAAAAAGGATGAAGTGAACGGGAAGACGAACTGCAAGGTCAAGAAAGAACAGAAGGAACAAGCCAATTGGAGACGTGTCTAGAAAGTTGACCCAGAGAAGGTCTATCGGAATGAAAGGGCAAAGGCTGGTGACAAACCTCTTTTGGTAGGTGGTTTAGTCTTAGTTTGCTGGAACTAAAGCGCCGTTGAGTTTAGTCCGGTTGTTGGTTCAGTTAGGGGGAGACTGAGAATGCCGCAACCATTGGTCCCCCGAAATATTGTCGTCGAGACGATTGCAAGGAAAAAGGTACAAAGAGCCGATCAAGGAACAAATTGCATACAGGGTGGAAGGAAGATCAAAACAGAGACGGCAGCATTAGCCAGGATCAGCGCATCCCACGGCGAAACCTGCCAGAAAGGTGCAAGAATGGCGTGCAGGAAATGAACGATACGATGGACAGCAGGTAAGGAATCCACGGAGCGCTGGAAAGCTGCCAAGGGATAAAGTGGGAACAGTGGGAATGAGCGTCGACCGAGGGGGAAAAGAGGAAAGAAAAGAGGAAACTGAAGCTATGAGAATGAAGGTAAATAGTGATAACCGCAGTAACAGTAAAATAATAATAATAATAATAATAACAACAACAACAACAACAATAATGGAAAATGACGAAGAGCGCAGAGAGGATCCCCCAGATAGGAGAAAAAAAAGGGGGTTTTCAACTGAGGGGGGAACCAAGAAAGGGACCAGTTGATAACAGATAATACTGGGGTAGTAACTCTTTTCCCTTGGCTGTTTCCCTTCTTTTTCCCTTTCCTATTTTCCCTATTAGAGGAACAATAGATCAACTTAATCAATGTAAGAAGTAATCACGAATAGAATAGAAAACAGAACAGAGAGATGGATCCAAATGGTGAGGATGAAGAAATAAGATTGAATAATAAATAACAATAATAAGAAGACTCAATAATACGAACTGTCGACACCAAACCTTGGGAAAAGTCAAAAAAGGAACTGTAATAATAACAATCAATAGTCACACGAATGGGAGAATGAATGACGATCACAGCAACCACTTGGGAGAGATCATGTAAGCAAGGAATGGGGGGGGGGGGGGGGGGGGTTACCTAGTTAATAATAATAAACAACAATATTAAAAAGACCGCGAACAAAAAAACAAAAGGATGTGATCGATGGACTGTACGGTACGGAGTATATGAGAGGAGGGGGGTGGGAAAAGGGGAAATGAGGAAATAAGTTCAACTCAACACCATTCCAATAGCTTACCAGGTTCTCTGGTGGAGCTTCCCGATGATGATTGACTGACCGATGGAATTAGGAGTTCCTCAGGGCGTGTCTATTATTGGTGTGTACCTGAAGGGGGAAATATCCTCCCCCCTCCTCATTTTCCTTCGGAGCCTCCCCATAGTATGTAAGTTTGGATGGAATGGAGCATAGAGGGCAGATCTCTGTGCCAATAGTTTCTCCTCTGACGCCACTTCCGATTTGGGTCTTTTGGATGGTTGTAGGGAAGGTTATATTAATCGACCTTCCCTGCCAGAGGGAGAGAATTCAACCGGGAATTCCATCCATGACAGCCGATGAGAACCATTTCTGGGACAGGGGATAGATGCAGGAGAATGGACTAGACCATTGGCGTCGTAACGATGGGGAAACAATAGGCATCCATTGCATCCATTTGACAGTGGGGGGAGATTGAGAGGAAGAAGAGAGGAGAGATTGAGATGAAGAGTGGGGAATGAAGTCAGTTCGACTTCTGGGAAAAGGGAGCGGGAGAAAGGATAATCCGGGGCTGCAGAAACCATCGGTTTGGGACTCGAGATGCCCCGTGACTCGTCCGATTGATCTCCATAATTTCATGCAGGTTATCGATTTTATTTTTATCTTATTTTCCTGCATATTTGGAGGGAAACAGAACTAAATAAAATAAGTTCCTTGCATGGTCTATGTCCGGTAGTTCATCAACAGGTCCCGACTTCTCTGTCTTGAGGACCCTTCATGCTCCCATCCCAACACTAGAGTTCGTATTAGGACTCTCCTGGTATAACCACATGGAATCCGGCGATTCGATATTCAACCAACCCCCACTTCATGGGATCGGTCATTAGATCATCTGTCAGATGTTGTATCGACATCTACAGACGATTGCTGGATATAGACTAGTAGAGACCCGGTCGACGACAGCTTGGACCAGGCCTATGCCGCTTGTGCGTTGTTCCGTACTATTGGCCAATTGCCATGATAACGACGATGCCAGTGAGACCGTCAGGGTCTGGATGCGGAAGATCATGACACATGCCCTTATGACTACCACTTGTACAACACACCTTGGGGTTGAGTCATAGGTGATACTTTGTACGCGGGAGAGTTCTGCCGACGGAGAAGAGCGGAGCGAACATAGAATCGGGAGTATGGTAGGGGCATCGACAGAAGAATGCCCTGGAGAGTCTGGTTCAGGAAGAGTGAGCGAGTAGCATCGAGGTAGCATCCATGTAGCCTCTATCCGTTTCACCATCGTCTACCTAGTGATCGTGTATGCCTGATCTCCCAGGCATATTCCTGCCTGGGGCATACACGGGGATCCGGCCGATTCGACCCCACCCACATCACTTTTTCCTCCATACATCGGTGGGATCCAGAAATTTACCCCTCCAGCGGATTCATCCTCGATTCGGACGCCCTCGCTGTGCCTTGGTCGTTGTCACAATTGTCGGTCTGCGTGATCAATTCCGTATGTATTTCATCTTTCCTGTTTGGTCTATCTTGTCACCAGTGTCATCCCCCCCCAACATTCTTTGATAAGGCAAATGGATGTGACTCACCCGGCCGAAATATGATATATCCCGCCACGCCCCAGCCCAATGCAGCCCCCATCTTCCACAATACTAGAGAGAAAATTTTGAGCAATCTTTGGCCTGGCTAATTGATGGAACTTGGACCTTCTAGATCAACCGCAACAATGGCATCCATCTACATCGACGAGGATGTCGGCAGAGACGAGTCGCCCGCGACCGGATCTGAGTCCGCTCCCTACAAGACCCTCCTCCACGCTTTCCTGCAGCACCCCCCGGCCAACGGCACTCAATACCTGACGCGCAAGTCGCAAACGGAACCTGCCGAGGAGGGCGCCGACAAGTTGGAGTGGAAGCCCGCGACCAAGTCGGCCATGAAGCGGACCACCAACGCCTACGAGCAGCGGAAGAAGAAGGCGGCCAAGGAACAGGAGATGGCGATCCGTGAGAAGCAGGAGGCCGACAAGCGCCAACAGGTGCTCGAGGAAGCGAAGAAGGTCGTCATCAAGGAGGACACCTCCCTTCCCAAGCCCGTCAAGATCCGTCTGGACGAGACCGACCCGGCCGTCGTCAAGCTGGGATCGCCCGAGGCCGGCCAGGGCACCCGAGTGCGCGCCGTGGGTCGCGTGCACCGTCTGCGGTCCCAGAAGGGCGTCACCTTCATCACCCTCACCGACGGCTACGGCTACCTGCAGTGCATCCTGAGCGGCGATCTGACCAAGACCTACGACGCCATGACCCTCACGCTCGAGACCTCCATGGCCATCAACGGCGAGATGCGCGCCGTGCCCCCCAAGCAGCACGCCCCCAACGACCGCGAGCTCCACGCCGACTTCTACACCGTCATCGGCCGCGCCGCCGGCGACAAGGACGCCATCACCAACCGCGTCTCGGCGGAAGCCGACCCGCAGACCCTCTACGACAACCGCCACCTCGTCCTCCGCGGCGAGACCGTCTCGGCTGTCATGAAGGTGCGCGCGGCCGTCCTCCGCGCCTTCCGCAAGACCTTCGAGGAGACGCGCATGCTGGAGGTGTCCCCGCCGGCCATGGTGCAGACGCAGGTCGAGGGCGGCAGCACGCTGTTCGGCTTCGACTACTACGGCGAGAAGGCCTACCTGACGCAGTCGTCCCAGCTCTACCTGGAGACGTGCCTGCCATCGCTGGGCGATGTGTTCTGCGTGTGCCCCTCGTTCCGCGCCGAGAAGTCGCTCACCCGCCGCCACCTGTCCGAGTACACGCACATCGAGGCCGAGCTCGACTTCATCACCTTCACCGACCTGCTCGACCACCTCGAGGCCGTCATCTGCCGCGTCATCGACCTCACCCTCGAGGACCCGGCCACGGCCACCCACATCAAGCAGCTCAACCCGGACTTCAAGGCCCCCAGCCGCCCCTTCCGCCGCATGAGGTACTCCGACGCCATCCAGTGGCTGCGCGAGCACGACATCCCCAACGAAGAGGGCAAGCCCCACGAGTTCGGCGACGACATCGCCGAGGCCGCCGAGCGCAAGATGACCGACATCATCAACCAGCCCATCTTCCTGACCCACTTCCCCGCCGAGATCAAGGCCTTCTACATGAAGAAGGACGTCGAGGACCGCCGCGTCACCGAAAGCGTCGACGTACTCATGCCCGGCGTGGGCGAGATCGTCGGTGGCAGCATGAGAATGGACGACTGGGACGAGCTGATGGCCGCTTACAAGCACGAGGGCATGGATCCTTCCCCTTACTACTGGTACACTGACCAGCGCAAGTACGTTACCTTCTCCCCCAATGGTCCTCCTGTCTTCACAGTAGCTAACTAAATTCTTTCTAGGTATGGTACCTCCCCCCACGGTGGATACGGGCTGGGCCTGGAGCGTTTCCTGGCTTGGCTGTGCAACAGATACACCGTGAGAGATTGCAGTCTGTATCCTCGTTACACGGGCCGTTGCACACCTTGATTGATGTGTTGAGTTTTGAGATTTTATCATAAACATAGATGCATGTTTAAATTTACGTCGTTGATAACAATTGTGCCTGTTTCGGGATGTGGTTTCATCAGTTAGTAATGGAGTGGAGTAGTACAGAGTAGGTTGTAGAAGTACGCCGGTCGTGATTTAGGCCAATGAAAAGAAGTTTCTCATGAGATATAGATATGCAGAATTTTACAGAAGGCTCAACAATCTGCCATGCCTGAATTTCTGGGTAAATTTGATATAGCAAGATGTATTTGCTTCACAGCACTGGATAGATCCGTCACATCATACATGCTTGCTCTGGGCTGGGGAGTTTTATACACAGCCATGATAGTAATCCATGAAGATCTATGATATAACAATGTCCCTTGGAACAAGGAGCTCGATCGTGTATTGATTATCAACTTCCATTGCTCTACTCTGAAATTGTCGCCTATCTTTACAGCCACCTCGGTCAGCAAAACAGTAACCTTGTCATGTAGAGCCAGATGATGCAAAACATATTCATGCATCGTGAAATAAGAGGCAATAATTGTTCAGTAAATCTCTAAGTGTTTCTACTTTGCCACGCTGGTCAGCCCTTGTCATATCTGCCTTATCATTTGTAGGAACAGTTACAGTTGCCATTCTACAACTTTTTCACGGAGTTTTCAGTATGTTTCACTAACTTGCTTCATAGCTCCAAGGTGTCATACTCTAAGCCTGCGGAAAGTTGTGATTTCGATGTGTGTTTTCTGAGTTTCAGGAAGGGTGTTACTGGGACTATCTCTGTACTTTCATGGACAGAGCTCGATAGTTCAATCTATCTTTTTGAAAGGATCTTTTGTTTTTTTTTTTTTTTTCACCAGTGGAATGTATCTTTTGATGAGACGATTTCAAGCCATCTAAAAGAGCTCAACATCGCAGACCTTCATTGCTGATCTGCCAACACACGCATCGGCCTGCTTTCTCGTTTCTCTTTTCCTTCAGGCATTGGGCAATAGCTTGATCGGTGTATGCCCTTGATTTAGCTACGAAGCCTGCTGATATAGCAGACTGATTAGTGGTGAAACAATATGGACAATGCCAGTTTCGCGAAATATGCTAGGAAATGCTTTTTAGCTCAACCTTGCGTGGGAGAAGAACGCTCACCCTTTTGACCCCGGTCGATCAATACACTGACAAATTTTTAACCGAGAGATTCCCTCAGATAGAGTCCACCGGCTGTGGACATTCTCTTCAGTAAGATGATTTGCAACCAACCTGAGAGTTTCCGCAAAGGGGTCGTTGCCAGCGTTTGACGCAATCTCTGTCAAAAGCTTTCCATAGGCCGAAATATCATTCAATCGACGTGTTTGGAACGAAAGATCAAAGAGTAATAATATCTCATCCCGTATCTCTGGAGCACGTCACTCGTGCGTTACGCCCTTGATGTCGCTTATATCAATAGGGACCGCGTTGCCATCATCGTCGAGAACAATCTTTGAAGGCTTGATGCCCAGATGAGTTTTCTTTGCACGGTGAAAATGTCCAAAGCATTCCCAATCTGGACGGACATCGCACCCAGTAAAATTCCCTAACACGCTTTTCGTTCAGAACACGTTGTAAGGAGCCACCGCTAAAGTACTCCAACAGAATACCGCTCAAACAACCATTTGTTTGACACAATTTTGGGAGGTCGCGTATGGGTTGGCGAACACCGCAATACCAGCTGGCTGAACGATCCATGCCACGCCTTTGAATTGTTCGAGGTTTTCAAGTTCTTCTTGTATAATATCCGAATCGCGTGGTTGGTAACGGAGCCGATTGACTACCTTGAGAGTGTATGGTTCTCTGTCGCGCTTGTGTAAAACCCGGAACACTCCGTCGGTGATTTCATCCTCTTCCTTCAATTCGGCGACATTGATGGCTCGAAACGACGGGAGTTAATAGCACGGCGGATAAACCACTCTTGATGGGTCTTCCCAAATTTGGAATCGCAGATTTTTGACGAGTTTCACAAACCGACTGGTATCTTCTAATTCGCGATATAGCTTCACAGGCTCAGTTGTTTTTCCGGGTCTCCGTTCAAGATCACTTCAGTCAAAGTGTTATCCAGAAGAGCCAGCGATCGAAATTCAATCAACCTCACAAAGTCTTGGAATTCAACGCGTCGTTCGCGTTTTGATTTGACCTGCTCTGGCTCAGCATCATGGGTAGAACAGGAAATCGCGCCCTTGAAAGTTACTCTGATCCACCATTTTTGGTCTTGAGAATAGTAGACCAGAGACTGCGAGCGACTGTTAGGCTCAGGCTTCCCTTCAGCTCGGAAGTCCCTGTCTTCACAGTACGACATTAATTCAAGCTCGGGGGTTTGAAAAAGGAGGAGCTGCTGCTGCGGCTGACATTTTGGCTTCTAACAAGGTATTTTTTTCTTTTTCAGATTGAGGATGTGCGGAAAGGCATGCAAGAGAAACGTTTAGTCGAGGGGTAAGTCTTCTGAACATACTCCTACTCCTACTCCTACTCCTACTCGCACTTCTACTCCTACTATTACCACCAAAAAAAAAAAACACAAAACCCCATCCTACCCCATACAGTAACCACATAAACACTACCTACCAAATTGCAAACACTACCAAAGTACCAAGGTACTAGATTAAACACATCCCAAACAAAACCAAGTCCTATCTCAACCCAAACACAAGCCACAACCGTCCCAAGGGACCAACTAACTAATTAAGTGACTGGCTGACTGGCTGACTGACTGGCGGGCTGGCTGCTCTAATGTGAGTTGTTCGTATAGTTATCTGGTTTCAAAAGCCTTCGAACAGGTAGCTTTTCTTACCTACCTGGTATTGCTTGTGTAGAATCTGTCGATCGTGTATGTAAATAGGTAGATATGGGGTTTGTTTGGGAAGGTGAATGGTGGGTGGTTGATTTATTGTATTTATTGATGTATTTTATTTTGTTTATCTATCTTGCCTTTGCTTCATATGGGGGTCTCAATGGCGAGATGAGGGAGGTACTCTCTTGTAACGGGGGGTTGGCAGCCGGGTACTAGACGATGCGTATATAAGGCTGTCCTACCTAGAGCATTCTAGAGTTCATTCTAACCAAGAACGAGAGAGACCAGGATGATACCCGGAGTGTGCAAGTCGATACTTTACGGAAGATGGGAGAGGCAGAAACAACAGTGTAGACCAGCCATCTATTTCTCGAGACCAACCATATAATTCCCGAGCGTGTATATGCCGTTAAGAGTGTCTGTCTTCACGACTCCAACGTCAACAAGACTCCATAACCGGTCTCTCTGTCTCCCTTTCTTGGTCTACACATCAGGGGCCATTACTGCAATAGAAACCAGATCCAACGGGGCGGTGCAGCATGCTTCTTTCTTTCTTTCTTTCTTTCTTTCTTTCTTTCTTTCTTTCTTTCTTTCTTTCTATCTTTCTTTCTTTCTTTCTTTCTTTCTTTCTTTCTTTCTTTGTTTGTTTGTTTCTTTCTTTCTTCTTTCTTTCTATTTCTTTCTTCATCTTTCTTCTTCTTTCTTTCAATGTCCAGTCTTGGTCTGGTCGTGAGGTCCCGCTACCCCAGTTTCCTGAGACAAGGCAGCGAAGATCTCCTGCTGCGAGGCGCCAGAGCGGATGAGGGACACCATCCGAGCTACGGTGGCCTGATCGCCGTGGCAGACGAGACTCAGCAGTTGTTCGAGGAAGACCCGATAGTATTCGAGATCCTCGAGGCTTCTTTCAGACTGCGGGGACTGATCGGTGGAGGAGTCGTGACTAGTGTTCCGGTTACGGTTAGAGTCATGGCAAATGTTGTTGCTGTCGCGTTTGTCAACTACAAGATCCCGGACTGGGACAGAAGGACTTCACAACACAGATGAAATGGATGAGAGAGGCTTACCTTGGATCCGGGCGGTTATTTGAGTTTTGGTTCGTTGACTCCATGGTAGACTTGTACGCCTTGTCGCTTGGCGAGAGCTGTTCCGAGGCGCTCGCTGTCTCTCGCTTCTCGTCAAAATACCGGGGTAGGATTCTCTAAAAGGTGTCGAGTTGCCCTCTTGATGTCTTCAGACCAAGAAGGGGATAATATAAAGGGATTCTGATCGATGCTGGAAGAAGAGTTCGCAGGTCGAGTCGAGGGGTCTTGGGTGAGGATCCGTGTCTACGATGATGTTAGTCCCTACCTGACGCATCGCGTTGGCATTGGGCCAAATTTAACCCGAATGGTCAGTGTTTCAACCACGCACCTGAGAGGGGCAGAGGGGGAAGAGGGGAAGGGGAGGGGGGGGGAGCGTGTCTAACAGATGTCCTTATCCACTAGAGTCCGAAGATAGGGGAATCGAGGGCACAACGATGACGAATCGAGGATGGAGAGGGTGCCGAATTATGGTAAAAAACGAAGCTCACATGCATCGCTGGACCAAAAGAAACCTTGGTCAAGCGAAGAAGTTGGAACGATGTCGGGCAGGTAGGCGTCGGCCGTGCGGCTTAGGGGGAGAGGGACTCTCCACCAGATGATTGAGACTCGAACAACCAGTCAGACAACGACAGGCGGAGGCAAGCCATCTCGTTGGTACAGGACGGACAGAAAGGGAGCTTCCTGACTGGACGCGGGGATTGCTGTGTGAATGGCTCCGAGGCAGGACCTAGTTTCCTAGTACCTAGTACCCTGAGTAGTTCAAGGAGGTGAGATGGTAGTAGGTTTGGTAGGCAGGTCGTAAGTAGTGACGGTAGAGTCATGGGGTTTTGGCAGTAACCAGTCAGCCGCTTTTTGGTCACTGGACCAGCCCACGTCTCGACTCAGTCCCCGGCGAAGGAAATGATTCCATCAACCTCCTTCCAACGATCTCATACGGATACCTTCAACTGGATCGTGTTGTTCAACCGGAGTGGTTCTTGGTACTATACGGATCCGGAAAACTTTGCCAGCCAATGGACGCGCCCCATTGTGTGTCCGCCACTCAGCGGAGGGAAGATCAACTCGGTAATGCTCCCTGGGCTTGGGCGCACTCAAGTTTCAAATTTCTTCTAGAATTATTCTTCTTTTCTTCTTTTTGCTCTTTTCTGGTTTGGAGGCTTCTGCTTCCCCGTCTCTCGTTGGAGAGGATGCCCGCCGAGCATGGGGACGCCTTGTCTCTCTGCTGTCCACCAAAGGGAGTCTGGACCCTGCGGTAGTAGCGTCGCCACGTCTCCCCTTCGATCATCAATGGGAGGCAAAAAAAGGCCCAATTATCCACCAACAATTACAGAGATGACGTCTCATTCGTTGCTATTGAAATCCGGAAGCCACACTCTTGGTCAACAAGGGACTGATTGAACAACCTGATTTCCTGAACACTTGCTATTATCGCCTCGGAAATTGCGCACGTCCTTCGAAACGAACACTTATCGCGATTCCGATCACGATCTTCGGGCGTCCCAAACCTCATCAATCTGGGATGACGTGGGTCGTTGGTGTTCAAAACACAACACTGGAAATCGAGGATGTTGCTTCTCCCAACGATCCTGCTGACACAAATCCGTGCGGAAATAGAATCCGCCAATGAAGGCGAAATTTGCAAGGATACGCTGAGGAATACCCTCTTGCCTTCTCGGTAGAGTCCATGAACGCAGATCGTCAAAGAAGGAGTGAGTATCACTCATAGGAGAACAGGCAAGTACCAAACAGGTACATTGCCGTTGAGTTTGGTGAACCTTCGACGAAGTTGATCTGCTTGATCTGCTCGTTGTCGTTGGATTGCCAAACACTGGCAGAGCAGAATGCATACGTGTTGTTCATCAGTCTGCTCACGTCCCACGCAAAGATCCCAAGTAACATCACCTTTTTTCGCAGATAAAGCCTCCCTACCTTCTCGAGAAGACCTTATCGACCCGGTTGAGTAATCCGAGGCGACTTCTCGGCGTCACCTCTTCGATTGACTGTTCGTGCGGACCTTAACGACTGGAGAGGCCAAAATACCGTTTCCCGACCTGTTTCGGCAACAAACGATCGGTGGGGCATAACAGTCAAATGCGAAACGGTCACCGATGACAGTAAAATGCCCTCAGCCAGACTAGCGTGGATGATGTCTTGATTTGTTCATAAGATGAAGTCGAGAGAAAACCCCAAAGTCAACATATCGTGCATGGAACACCAGGCGGGGCGAAAAAACGCCCAGGGAGTGGTGTTCTGGATCGACCCAAGAATCCGGTTCCGTGTGGAGCACTGCCGTTATGGGGGTATAGGCCGTCTTCCACCGTGCCTGCATACTCCAAAAATCAACGGGGACTGGCCACACTCGTGATGATTGCTTCTTCACTCCGTTGAAGATGCTCTATTTGGTTGCAGGCAAAACCCCTCGCTCAACGTTGATTGGGTATACTGGATCGATGCGACCTGGTTCTTCGGTCTATTCCAGTGTTAGCCAATACCGTTATCCGTCATGGTGAAACGAAAACCTCGGTCTGTCTACATACAAACCAGGAAGGTACGTGGGACCGTCGATTGACAACGTGTTGTACAGGTGCCTCGTCTTTTTTGCAACGGCTGAACACGGGTTTTTAACCCGCCGTCAAGCAACCAGACAGACCAGGTCTAGGCAACATGCAGGCTCATGGAATGACTGACGTCAAAGACATGGCTCGTCTTCTGTCGCTCAGAGTCTTAAATGCGCAGTTTCCACCAGAGATCGCTTCGGACAATAGTGATATTGCGAGAAAGTAACTTTTGAAAACGGGTCACGCATTAATCATGGGCATTGGGTTTATTCTGATATCGTTATCCTCGGTTATTGGACGCGTTGTGAGTTCGCGGCGCTTCTCTGGAAAGTGGTCTCGACGCTCTCCGCCCTTGCCCCTAGGCACCTATCGCAGTCAGCTAAGTAGCATCTCCATTGTCGGAAGCAAGCCTGTCTTGGGATTGTATACAGAGCCTTGTGGACTGTGGATGATTGAGAATAACGGGCATTTTGACCTCCTCATCTTCACGGGATAAGTCAGGCTCCAAGGCCCTGTGGTAAAAATCCTGCCGTCACTCGTTCATGAAGTGGTTTTGCCGATCGAGCAAAATACCCAACACGCGGACAAGAGACACGAACAAGAGCTTGGTTATAGGCAGTGATCCGGCAGTCATAATTCAGGAGTTGAAAAACGAAGCGAAAAAAATAGATGAAGAGGGGCAACGACAGCTGACGAGCACAGTGTGACGCCTAGATCATTTGGCGCCAATCGGAAACCCCTTTTAGGGAAAGAAAACAGATCCTAACGATTTGATGGGGCTCCACTCAACGTTTTCCGAAGTACCACAAGGCAGAACCACATGTATCAACTTCCGGCCAAAGCCTAATTTGCAGGCCTGTTGCGCGTCGGCATGAAGACCAGTGATCCTCAGTTCATGCAGGGATGAGACGGTGAATCACTGAGGTCATGACGGACTGTGTGGCTTGACGAGTGCCTAATACGGGGTGGCTCCGAAATCAGGTCACAACACCTAAGCCCGGTCTATCCCAACACTCATGTTCAGCCTCACTGCCTGTGACAGTCCTCACGGTTGAGTAAGACCTCTACAAATTTTCAGTTGGCACTCCAAGGGTCAACTTCGCGCTTCCTTCGGGGGTCACAAATGTACAGATGGCCCAACCCAGAAGTTCACCTATTGCATAGATCTTAGGATGATCCGGATCTTAAGAAGATCTGGGAACAGACATGATAATACCCTATGGTCAGCCTTAAGAGGTGACGGTCGTGGTCACAATGGTAAGACGTAGGATCACCAACAAAGAAGTTCCGTCCCACTCCTGTTGATGGATCGGCATGGTCCAAACAGGGAAGTCTACTCAAAGCAGTACCCTGACAAAACGTACTAACGGCAACGGATAAAACCCTACATGGGCTATTCCCATATCGTGCCTGCCCTGGGATCGGATGCTAGGGCTAATGCCGCAGCAGTCAACTTCCAATTAGCGGTCCTCGTTGGCCGCCGGAACGTGTTTTCGTTTTCTCTCTGTTTTTTGGGTCCGCTCGCTTGGAAATGGTTTCCGGCCGCTGTGGAGTTTCAATTTGCGGGATGCTTCGCATGAACCCTCTTTTTGAGTCACTCGGTTTGTCTCCGAGAGATGTCTGTCTACTATCTGTCTCGTTGTCTCTCTCATTGGCTGTCAATGGCTGTCAATGGCTGTCAATGGCTGATCTTGTGTTTGGTATGGGACCGCATTACCGTGTCCTGTACAGGAGCTAGCGCGTCGTGGTGTATTTATACAGGCGCCCCATCCTGCTCATTACCTGAAGACTGGGGTAGCGCGCGTCTGCAGGTGATGCTCATTTGTTGTGGTGAACATCTACAGCTAGTGCGTCTAGATATCAGCAATATGACGGATATCATGGTTTGAGGAGTGTCATCAATGTGCATTTGACGTCTATGGTCTGCACAAAACAGCGGTACATCCGGGACCATCCACAGTCAGACAAATTACGAGTACACGGGAAGACTTTACTGTCTGTTAAGGTCGTTGGGCATCCATGGGTGGGCATTCAACCAGGGGGACATCGTACTGGCCCACATATACAATCTACATTACTATCAGTGCAACTGGTCCTGTCAACTGTCAACTGTCAACTGTAAAAACTTGATACCGACCTAGTCAGTCTAGTCACTTTTCATCCCCGAGGAATGTACAAATATATATATTCTTTCTTCCCTTATTATCGCATGATTATATCTACCTTTGTCACACTCCCACCCATCATACTCCGTATAAAACACACAGTAAGCATTACAACCCAAATCAGGCAAATTCCAACCCATTCCTCCGCAGGGATGTTCATCAACGTTAGCTATACACGATATAGAACCCTCCCTCCGACCTCCTGCCCCCTACACAGCTATCCTAATATAAACCAGCACAATAACCACAACAATCTCCATACAATATATATCCCAGAGTCGACAGAGGACGATAATACCACATCTCGGACATTTACTCTAAAAAATATCCCGCCTCGTGTAGCGGAGAAGGAGTAGCAGCAACAGGAGCGGACCACCCCTTGCCACGTACATAGTAGGTACAGACCGAGGAATTGACCGCGATCCCTTGCTTTACTTGCTTCACCAACACATATCTGTGTTTTGATTGCATTAATAACGTTATAACGTTGTGCTGGCACAGGGGAAAGTACGCTAAATCAATGATAGCCTGTTTGATAATGCTATATCCATCTAGTATCTACCGTGCTTATACTACTCGTGCCTCTTTTCAAGCGGAAGACGGTAGATAGACAGTATGTAGGAGGCACGTAGGGAGAAGATAAATAAATAAATACTCACCAGGTAGGAAGTGATACATACCAGGTAGATTCACCGCGAACCCTACATTCTTCATAAACCGCTCATGAAACAATCTCGACCATCACTAGTGCATTGCTTGTATGGTGGATATACACCGTACGCATCTATTTACATATCCATCTATCTATCTATCTATCTATCCACCTATATGTGTGTTCACAACTGGGATACACCAAACCAAACTGGATATAAACATGAACCACAGCCACAGAACAGATCTAAACAGTCGATGAGGGTCAATGGATAGAATGCAGTGAGTGACCCGGTTGCCTTTTCCTCCATCCCATGTTATCCTATCCCCATACACCCAATTCCACGACACGATCCAGCCAACCCCTTGATTGCAACTGAAGGAAGGGGATTCAAGGGGTATACGTACTTTTTTTTTTACTACTTACATATCTTTTCTTGCTCGTGGTGTAAATATCTCCTATTACCTATTCACTTCCTTCCTCTTCTTCTTTCTCCTTCCAACCCCAATCCAATCCATCCAATTCAATCCAATCCAACCCAGTCCAATCCACTTCAATCCAATCCAATCCAATCCAACCCAACCCAGCCCAACACACCATACCATACCCACACCCACAGCACTGGCAAGTGGCCATCAACAGACACATGAACATCTACTCCATCCTCCACACAACCACCACCACCAAACCCATCCGCAAAAACCGAAAAGCAAAGACCAAGACCAAGACAAAGATGCACCTCTCAGGCAAATACATCTCCACCCTCTGCCTCCTCGTGACAGGCATCTACGCCCAGGCCGGTCCGTCTGGCAGCGACACGGGCAATACGCTCTGCTTGGGGAGCTGTGCGGATACGAAGGAGGAATTGTCTTGTATGGGTGGGGGGGTTGCTACTGTATGTTTTCTCTCTTCTTCTTACTTTCGCTTCTGGAGGGATATACATTCTCTCTTTCTATATGTCTCTGTATTGGAAGGATGGAGTCAAGAAAGAAAAAGGCAAGGTTAATGATGATACTAATGTGAGATACAGTTCCGAGAGAAAAAACAATGCTGGCTGTGCTGCCACAACGACGACCATTTGGATAAGTTTGCGGACCGCACGGATGATTTCGTGGATCATTTGGAGGATGTCATTCCTAATCGGGCTGCACATGTGTAGATCTTTCACTAGATGATCAGGGAGGGAGGTTGTTGGTTGGTTGGTTGATATTGCATTTGCTGGACGGAGTGGTGGGGAGGGAGGTTGTTATATTGGTATTGGTTGGTTTGGGTGGAGAGGGTGGTTGTTGATATTGATATTGGATAATATTGGATGACATTGGTATTGGTGGAGAGGGAGAAAGGGAGGTAGGATCAAGGGATTGGAGATCTATTTATGAGTTGATCTGTATCTGATAGGATAGACCAGTTCATTCATGAGTTCTATTCTATTCATCATCTAGTCCGTTGAGTCTTTCTCATATATTTCATGATTGGTGTGGTTGTGTAGTGTAGTGTTGGCATATTACTGATTATCGGAGTCGTGATAGACTTTAATCCCTAGATGGATCTACCATAGTACGGTAGATACATACTCGAAACAGTCGATACAGAATACAAAAAAATATCCAGTCATTCGCTCAAGTTATCTAACCATTCGCCTCGCCAAGTCCGTGCCATAATCTATCAATTCAAAAACAAGAAAAAAAAACATCGCCAGCTAGTCCATCATCCGTGAGGTCATATCATTTTCCGTCCCTTTCGCCATTCAGATATCGAGCGATATCCAAGATAAGTGATAACAAAGTGTGAAAAGAAAGTCAAGTACAGGGGAGACCCCTACTGGGGAAGGCTCGAATTCTTGCCCACGATCGTAACCGGGGTGCTGGACGGTTCCTTCCAGACGGCACTGTTGGCCGGGAAGATCGATCCCCCGTTGACATCTGTGGAGAGACCCCGAGGTTCATCCACAAGAGGTACGACGAGCTCCACGCCCTTCGTGCCACTCGTGCTGCCGGAGAACTTGTGCCGGGGAGGCAACGGGCGATGGCTCATGTAGTCCGATGCACTGCTGCTGAGCGAGGAGGCCACGGAGGACGGCGTGTGGATCAGGGAGGGCGGAGCGCCGGTGGCACTGAGGGTCGACAGACTGCCGGAACTGTGGTGGTCGGCTTTGCGGCGCACGGGGATCGGTGCCTGCGTGCCGTGGAACTGGGACAGGTAGGTCCAGGCCTCGGAGCTGGCGGCCGAGCCCGGGATCGGTATTACCGGCTTCCACTCGGACGGGTCCTGATCTACCTGGACCTCGTACATCTCACTCGATAGCCGCGCCGGCGTGTAAACCGGAGCCTTGGTGGGAACCATTGGCGGCACGATAGTGCGAGGGGACATCGGGGGAGAAGCAGGAGGGGAGGTCGGAGCAGACATGGAGGAACTGGAAGAGATGGAGGCGGAGAGAGGTTTGTGGGAATCTTTGCGGCGGCAGCTATAGAGGTATGAGTATACGGTCAAGATCGACGAGGTGGTCCGGATTAAATAGGCTGACCAAAGGACAACATAAGAAGAAAAAGAGTCATACCTTTGACTGCAATATAGTAGAGAATTATCCGGAACGGTTATCTGCCTCTCACACATGGCACTGCAGATAATTGGTCAGCGGGCATTCGATAAGGATCCATCCATGCAAGGATGTCCACAAGCAACCCTGATAAGAATCACCAGGAGAAAACCAGAAACATACCAAAAGTTCAAAAAGCTGGCGGCCATCTCGAACTCCTCGTCGTCGGTGTGGTCGACCGTTGTTTGCTTGACGGGCGCGGCGCCCAACTTGGAAATGGAGTGGTTCACAGAAGATGTGCCTTTCCGATGGAGAGCGGGGCGTGCGGGTTTCACCTTGGCAGCATTCGAGCCCGAGGGCGAGCGACGGTGGTGAGAGGAATGATGTCCCTGGGCCATGGATGGCGGTGAGGGTTTATGTATCGATGCAGCTTATCTGAAGAGGGTACCTTGCGGCACGGTGGATTGGAGCGGTGGAGCCAGACGCTTCCCCTGAGGCGGAGGGATGCAGGCCACGATATGAGGGATTTGCGGCCGGGTGTGAATCGAATTGTCTCAGACCGGTCGAAAATGGCTTGTGATGGATCCAACTATTGCTTGGTGGTTTCCCCGTCGGAGAATAAAAAGCCAACGGTATGTGGTGGAGCAGCGAGGAAAGAATGCCCGTGGGGTACAGAATTGAGAGATTTAACCGCTGGACGGGAGAGGCAAAGGGCAATATGAGGGACTGGTGAGAGGACCCGCGGCGATAAGCTTTGTAGGATTATCTGCAGTGGCACGTTAGTCCAGGATTCCAGCAGGCAATTAGGGTGACTAGTTGGGGGGGAGATAGGCAAGAGTCGGTATCTGGTGGTATTATCCGGAAGGATGGGGAGATAAGCAGAATCTACCTATACTCAATTGAGACGTACCTGAGGGTTCTTTTCTTTTCTTTCTTTCTTCTTTCGTCTTTCTTCTTTCTTCGTTCTTCTTGCTTCTTTTACTCTTTCCTTCTCTTCTAGTGAACGGTTATATCAAGGGAGGAGGTCAAGTGGGTAGTGATGAGGACCGATGACGAAGGATGTGCCGGGAAGATCAATTAATATGAACGAGGGGCGGCGTATATTAAATGAACGGTATAAGGATAGAACCAAACACCAGGGGATGGGAGGGACCGGGGTGGTTATGTACTTCCACTTGAAGAGATCGGAGGAAGGGGGATGGATTCTAGAACGAGATATCCACTGGGGATTGACAGACCCAAGCACGTCAATGGAGAGAAGGTGAACAAGCAGAAAGAAGCCGGGAATGAAGAGAGTGATTGGCGAGGAGGAAAGAAAGATGGAGTCACGCCATTGTTTCAGGTCGGAGGACGGTCTAGACCCGGGTGTGTGGCCTGAGGCAGGAGGGCATCCAGATAACGCGCAATCTTGCTTACTTCACCACCTTCTCTATATTTAGAGTCTGTCGTGTCTTGACTCTCTGGTTCAGGTGGAGTCAAATCGGGTGAAATGCACTCTTTATAGAGATGGCGTTCATCCTGCTTTGTGGGAGTTCAAGCCGACCAGTGTGGACTGATGGTAGTCTACAATCTATCTATCTTCCTTCTGATCCCTCACAAAGAACAGACTAAATCAATCAACAAATCAATCAAGAAATAAACAAATAATATTAACCGACCGAACCACGCTTATCTAGATCGCACAACCTGGCTGGTGATGCGGGGCTGCCCTATGATTTTTCTTCCTAAATTCGCCTCCCTCTAGACAATCATTCGGGTGACATTCCTTCCTGACTGGTCTGGAACCTCTATCTTCTATCACCTTCTCTCTAACACATATAATATATCTTTATTATCCATGTGGCTACAGCGGAAATTCCAGTTAACTCTACAAAAAAAAAAAGAAAGAGGAAATATAAACAGCGATCTGTGCGGTCTGATCAACCCTCTCCAGATCCAATCATGGTGCCACCCTGCCCACCAAGCAGGTTTCTCCTGACCACGGTGGACCACACACACACACGAACACACACACGTCGCCTCCATTCGTGACACCATAAATCCCTCGAATGGTGGCCAGACCATGAGACAAATAATCACTAACCCGACTAACCCGACAGAATCCCGTCGCCCGAGGTCAGTGTTTTCACGAATAGAGGGAAGGGAAAGGAACGGAAAGCAGGAATAGCGATCATTGTGTGCCTCCCCACCCTGCCCAGAAATCCCCAACCAACACATCCAATCGTCGGCAGAGTTGGACTCCAACAAGGGCGCTAGGTACAGCCCGAGAGGGGTCGATGATGAGGATAGACGTATGTAAGTACATAATGGAATCCATTGAACGACAGGTGTGGAAAATCTCGGAACAAATCATGGTTCAGGATTCAACTATGACAACCAGATTTCCACCTGAATTTCACTCTGGATTCTCACTTCCCGTCCCAAGGATCGGCGCTTCGTAAGGGCGAAAATTGAATGAAATCAACGAAAAAACAAGATTTGCCTTGTTTTTTTTTTTCTCATCTGCGTTATCTGCACACTGCTGAAGAACCACATACTTGATACCGTCCATGTTCAGAGACCCTGTCGCGCCAACGGCGCCTATCTCCTGAAAAGCAATCTATCCCATACCAGCCTTGCAGAATGCCTAGTGCACGGGTGCATGTGCATGTGCATGTGCATAGGCTCAGAGAGGGTCGTGTGCAGACAAAACCAAGAAGACCACTGTGGGTCTTCTGATGAAGTTGGTCTTCCACTGCTTCATCTCGACGAGTCGATGGTGGGGGAAAGTGGGTAACCGCGGATGTCATTAATCTCGTCCTGGGTGACCCTTTCAGCGTCGATCCGTACAGATTGTGATTGACTGGGGATAGATTATGATGTGGTTGTACCAGAGTATGAGGAGCAACAGACCCTATGGACCGTCTCTATTGATAGTATGTGAAAAATTACTAACAAATGAATCATCAACCACCAATTACTCTATACAACTACATACACCAACTACCCAATACAGTAATCTACCATCCCATCATCATCTCAGTCCATCATCTCAATCTAGAAACTAGAAACCACCTAGAACCAAATCTCCATACTTTCCAAAACCCTAGAACCAAGCCAAGAAATCCCCACCCCGACGCCCCTCCTTCCAAACCAACTAACCAACTCACGGAACCTGGCCACAATCCCGCGCCACACCGCAACATGACAACAACATTCTTCACGCCCCTCTTACTCGATACATGCATACTGCTTACTTACACAGTTAGTAACCTCGGCTGAAGATCCGGAGAAGCGGAGTACACTCATTTCGAGGGTTGAGCTGCTTCGGTTCATGTATGGCGGTATAATAGGTGGCAAGAAAAACCACTCGGCTACGGGAGATAATTAGGCACTTCTGAGCTCTGTGGGTATCTTTCTATGCCGCCTTATATTGCGACATTTTATGGCTCAATATGTTATATGTTTCATGGTTGTGTAGATACTGTGGGAGGACTGATGAACGGTCAGATTGATGATATTGATAAGTCTTGTGATTATGGAAAAGTTGCGAATAGTTACATATTATATATAAATTTATCTAAATGTATACATTCAAGACAAATGAAGAACCACAAACAGGTCAGCTGACATGTTGCACATCTCTCACTCTCCCCCATCTCAGTTCCCACGCCGCCATCCAAACCACCACGGCCTTTCGACCCATCTCAAGCGTGCCTTGGCTTTCATATACTACGCTCCCGTCCTCCGAGTTCTATCCTGCTAGCAGAATTCTCTAGACTAAGCAAGGATCAATCATGAACAAGCAAACACGAATACAGTCAATCCCTCCAATAAAAAGCAGGGGTCTTGATCACGAAATCCATGCGGAATCTTGTCTGCAAAATCGCAGCAGAATCAATCAACTCACTTACCACCCTCGAACTACACGCGATGAACGTCGACGATGAGGTGTCGCCCTACGGCTCGACAACAGTTACAGTCGAAAATTTCAAAAAAAGGAGGCTGACTGCTACTGGGCTCCTGCTGCGACCAATGCAAGACTGAGGTTGGTGGTAGGGTATGACTTCTGACACTCGATAGGAACGGTCACTCCCCGCTTCACTTGTGGAATATTGGGGGATTGTCAGTGTAAGACGAATTGCTCTCGCTATCCCTTGAGCACGTCATTCTGCAACCCTTCAATCATCTCGAACAAATAATACGACATCTATCCGAAAGGTCCAGCATGGGTGGCACAACTGCAACTGCACAGCTAGACCTACCCCTCGACAAGGTTGTTAACCGCCCTCCTCGCCGTCCTCCAGAAAGAGACACAGTGATAACCGATCAAAGCTGAGAACCAAGGTTCACCAAGCATCTGGAGGAGCAAAATCATCACGATTCTGACATGCCCGTTGGCGGCAGATTCCATGGACGGCAACGACAACGCTATACTTCCGCAGAACGTATATCTAAGCAAACCACTCACCTAACTATCCAACGCACCGAAATGCATGCCCTACACCTTCCCAGAGCTTCTAATCGTACTAGCTAAGCCGTGTCCCTAACCAGAACCCCATACAACTTAGTCCATTGAAGCCCTCCAGGCTAAAACAGTAGAAAAACCCAAGCAAGCCCCACCTCGACGCCCCTCTTAATTAGATTAACTGACTACGTAACCCCCCGGAACCTGCCCACGATTCCCGCGCCACACCGCAACATGACAACATTCTGTCGCAATACAAGATAGTGCACAAAAGGGGACCCACAGAGCTCGGAAGTGGCTAGATATCTTTTGTAGCTGAGTGGTATTCTTTGCGTCACATTCTTTATTCACGCCCCTCCTACTCTATACATACATACATCCTTACTTTATCCTCGGCCGAGATCCGGAGAAGCGGATTATCATAATAGCTAAGGTTAAGCTTTTGCAATCCTTGCGTAGCGGTATATTATAGCTCGTTGTCATAGTTATATTTCGTGTGGTTGTGTGTTAGGGCTCTTTACTATATATATATATACATACATATATATATTATGACAGGTTTTTGGTCGTGAAATAGGGTTATGGGGGATATTTGTGGGCTCACCTTTTGACACAATTTTGTCTTTTGTTATGGTGAGAGGTGAGATAAGATGGGTTGGTCGATAGGGAGGTAAATCCGAGTAGGTCAGGTACCTAGTACATGATAGGTAATGCATTTAGTGATGGGGGAGGGTTGATATTGATGATTAGCTAGGGTTAAGGTAATGTTGAGATATATTAGGTGTATTAGAGATAAATGAATGCATTGGGTATCATAAACATAAAATAAACTATAGTACAACTCGACACGGTGGACTTCAATAGCCCTGCACAGGCTTGTCCTATTTATCCACCACCATTGGATCACCATCAGATGACCCGGCAGCAGCAGTGACCACGGGTGTCGACGCAGGTGCACCGCCGGCGCTCTTCGTGTCACCCTCCTTGTCCTTTCCTGCAGACTCCTTCCCTGTAGACTCCTTCCCTGTAGACTCCTTTCCCGCAGACTCGCCCTCTCCCGTCTCCGTCTCGCCCTCCTTGGGCTCTTCCTTGGGACCACCTAGGAACCGCGCGGGAACTCCCTTTGCAGCCACCCCGACAGGGCCTACGTAGCATCCGAGCATAGGACTCCACTGGTACTTTTGGTCGACGGTGTTGTGGATCTCGCGATAGGCGTAGGAGTTGGAGAATGGGAGGGAGGTCTCCTTGTGTCGGTAGCGCGAGGGGAGTGATGTTATGACACAGAGAGAGGATGAGATTTCTGTTTTGTCGTGTTAGGTTGTTTTTTGTTTCAAGAGGGTATTGGGAAGGAAGGGGCATACTTGTAAGCCGGGGAGGTTTCTTCGCGTTGAAATAGATGCTGAATTCGCGGCTCTGAGCGGTTTTCTCGTCGAAGTCTTCCAGCACGGTTAGGCATCGGCCGGCTTGTTCGACGACTGCGGGGGGAGCGGGGATTTGGGGTTGTGGTGGTGCCTCTTCGGCTGCCGCAGTGAGTGGATCTGTTACTGTTCCGGGAGATTTGTCGTCTTCAGTTGGTGCTGGCGTGGTTCCTGGAGGGACGGACTGCGCTGGAGTGCCGTCTGGGGCAGCTCCAGGAGAAAGCTTTTCAGGCTCTGTAGGAGGTGCTGCGTTGGGAGGTGCAGCGGGAGCTGTAGGAGCAGGGGTTTCAGTAGTAGGGGTTGCAGAAGCTGCTGCTGCAGGTGTAGAAACTGCATCTTTGGTCGCGTCGTCAGTTTTGTCTCCCTCAGGAACAGGTTTCGGCTGCGATTCTGCGTTCACAACAGGCTCTTTCTCCGACGCGGGTTCTTTTGTCGTTTCCTGTGTCTCCGGCTTCGTGTTGTCGACAGTGACCGCGGGTTCATTCTTATGCTCTTCATCAATGTCCATTCTGTCTGTAGTGCTATCTCCCTCTTTCTCGGACTTGTGTGAATCTAAATCCTGAGTTAAACCTTCCTTTGGAGCAGCAGCATCTGACCCGGCAGGTTGGGCTGGTTCCGTTGGAACATCCTTGGGTTTCGGCGTTGATTCGCGGGCAGGTTCTGCAGGGGCATCCGAGGGCTTGGGTGAGTTTGCCTCTTGGACACCGTCCGTTTTCGACGCATCGGTAGGGACAACCTCAGGCTGCGGGGCTTCCGTCATGACAGCATCCTCGGGTTTTGGCGACTTGGAATTTTGCACATCTCCGTTGGATGCATCATTGGGGGTGCTGTTAGAAGCCTGTGTAGATTCCATAGTGGTACCAACCTCTGCAAGCTTTTCAGATCCTGCAGAGCCGTCAACAGTGGGATCGACGTTTGCCCCTGCTGAACCCCTCGATTCTTTTGGAGCATCCTGCACCTGACTTGGCTGTTGGTCCTGAGAAGCGTCTTGGTTCTGCTTCGTCGAGTCTCCCTCGGCCGGCGTTGAGGCAGTAGGATTCTCAGAAGCCGAAGGGGCAGTCTGCGACGGGCCTGGCCCAGTTCCCTCAACACCCGGTTGCCCTGGCACACTCTTGTCCTCCTTTTCCGATTTCTTGCTCTTCTTCCGCGCAGGTTCTTCCTTTTCCGGCTTCGGCGTAATGTCGACTTTGCCCAGACGCGTCAAGCGACCATCAGACCACGTAGCAAGGCCACTCCAATAGGACATGACTGGACCTTGCAGGCGCCGATTCTGAAGCGCTTCGATTTTGGCCTTTCTCTCCTCCGCTTTTCGCTTCTCCATCTCCTCCCATAGGTTGAGACTCTTGCTGTTAACTCTTTCGACGCGTTCCGCCTCTGCGAGACGCTCAGCTTGGGTCATCTCCTTGGGCTTGAGATGGGCCTTCCGCTTGGCGGCTTCCTCCATGGTGGCGATCAGTCGAACCCGCTTCTCCTCGCTGTCCTTGAGCCGCGCGTGCGTCATTTCCTTATTGTACATTGTCTGCCGGCGGGAGGACGATCGGGTAGGCCCTTCATCAGGCGTCGGGATCCACGAGATTCGTTCCGACTTCTTCTTGGGCCTGGGGGGCGGCGCTGCTGTGGGTACGGCGGTGGGATCGATCTTGACCTTTTTCCGGGCGATCTTAAAACGGAGGTCCTCCTGGGCGCGTCGTTTCTTCTTTTCGGCCTTCTCCTCCTTTTCAATTTGCCGCTCGCCCTCATCGTCGCCCGGCCGGGCGTTCGGTCCTTGATCGTCGTCGTCGGAAGAGGAATCAAGGGCCATATCGTCCTCCTCGCCGCCTCCCATCTCTATCTCGTCAAACTCCTGATCATCATCCACTTCTTCGAACAGAAGGGCCAGGTCGTCGTCTGCTTCGGCGTTGAGAAGGGCGGACATGTGACGACCGGCCGTGCTGCGCCTCGAGCGGCCCTTGATGAGCGATTCCACCGGCTCTGCATCCTCCGCCGAGGACGACTGATCTGTGGGATCATCTGCCATGGTTTATGACTGTGACGCGGTATAAACTCGTAGAACGCGAAGAACCAATCGATGTTCGAGGGGGGTACCGGGGGAGTGACACCCGCGCGACCTTTGGGGGGGGGGGGGGGGGGGGTTAAGTAGTAGAAAGAGTGGTACACAACTCAATCTCGTGGCTGCTTTTTGTGTTCAAATTCAAACTGTGACGAAGACGGTCGATGAAGGTGGCATTATATACACATCGAGTGAGGTATTCACATCGAGGAATGATGACAGGCTTCGGAGCAAACCGAGGGACAGAAAGCTGTGGCCAAAAGTGAAAGCCACCAAGGCGGTGTGGGGATTGACGGCAAATGACTAGGCGGTCTGCTCAGTTAGTAGCCTGAGGCATTAAAAATGTGTACTTTCGGTTTGCTACGGGGCAATTATTCTTTATTCCACTTGGTAGCCAGTGTATATATATTGCATATTTGAGTTTGAGGACAAAGAATCCAAGTAGTCGTGGGGCACCGACTTCGCGACCTCCAAGTCCAGGTCCAGGTCCCAGTAAAGATTGGGTCAGGTACAAGCACACTCACTATCGCGGTACCTGAATGACACTGGACTACGGATACTGCTTCTACTAGTAGCAGTCTCAGTGCCTTTCGCTCCGAAACGTTTTACACTTTAGTCAATTCTCTCCCAGCAGTAGACAAAGATGGTGGACTGCCTGAAACCACCGTAGAGTGGCAGGGGCCGGCACTGCAGACGGGGAGATGAACCCTTGCCAGGATGGCGACAAAGAGCGCTCAATCCCTTGCGTCTGTGGCCATCGCGATAATATATCCGAAAAGGGGTCCAACATGGTTCTTGCCGGACGATCTCACACCATCGTCCAATGGGATTCCCGATGTCATTTCAACGAGGCCGCGTCGACCTCCCAAGCCATGTTGTCCCAGGCTTTGAGACAGACGCATGCGGTGAGCGATGCTATCCAATATCCATCAGCTTATTCCAGCGAAACCCGGATAATTACATTCTGCGCCCTGTTGTATAAGCCAAAGAGTGTGCGTCCCATCGCCTACAATCCAAGACCGTGTCAAGCACCGGACGGTCCGCTGGAATGCGGGGTCTAGTTAGTGTTCGAGACGTTTCAAAGGTGCCAATCATTCCCGGTTCTGCGAACTAGAACTAGAGGCCTCCGACGGTCCTTGGGCTGAACGGGACCCCGTGGATCCTCAATCCCTCCGTGTTTCATCTCAGCTGTACTGGCTAGGTGCTCCTCAGGCCAGATCATCCATTAGTTATACTGTTGCTCACCCGCATATGAAGCGGGTAGGACCCTGATTTGGCCAGCTCGGCATTGATTTAGAAGCTAGGTAGTAGGCAGTATTCATTTGATTCTCTATGGTAGGGTAGATAGCATGGTCGGGAATTGGGACAGGATTGAAGCTCCAGCTCCACCTGGCTGGAGAGAAAGAACCTTTGATTGTGTGTTTGCAACCTCAGGCAGAACTGTAGGTTTCCTTGATGCAGCCGATACGGAGTAGTGGTCGTTGATCTCCTGATCCCGAGCAGGGTCTGTCGGAGAAAAACCACTATATCCACCGATTAGTTAGTTGATGAAATTGTCCGATCATCATGGTCTGTATAATATCCATGGATGGATATAACAGTAATAGGTACCTATGTGTTCAGCTGGACAGTAAGTGTATGATGTCCCTGTGGCTATCCACTTCCATACAGTTTATTACCGACTCGTCAGATATACCATGGGCGGTATCAGCGACATGATGACCTGTCTGCAAGTCAGAATGATGGCAGATCGACGAACTACGGCGGTCATACCAACATAATCATTTTATTACTATGATTATCCTCTTCCTCTGCTTGTTTCTACAATCCGTCCCGTGGCAGTGCGAGTATCTGCATCAGACATATAGTAGATACTGGGTACTGTGTACTCCGTATTCTCAATACAGAGAAACCACTAGTAAGCCAACTAACCAACCAGATATGACGTGCAACCATTGTCGGTCCTCAGGCTCCCATACTGACTAAGTCCTCTCTTCCTCTCTTCCTCTCTTCCTCTCTTCCTGTCTGTCTCTGTCTCTCTCTGTGTGTCTCTCTCTCTCTCTCTCTCTCTCTCTTTCTCTCTCTTCTCCATCCTCCTTGTTCTTCCTTTCATCCTCCCTTATACTATTTATATTCTTTTTCCTTTTTTTCCTTATCCTTTTTTTCTTCCCTGATTTTTTCTTCTTTGCATCCCCCCTCCCTCCCCTCTTCTTTTCCTAATCGCATCTTCTTCTATTCATCTGTTCGAATAATTCGTCTTGATCCAATTAGAGATCCTCTTTTTGCCTTCTATCTCCCCCCGGAGCTCGCGCAAATTTGGTTCTTTCCAGCCACCTTAGTCCCGCGATATTCGATCGTTTTCATCGTCACGTCGTTTTTTTTTCTCTCTGGCTGGATTTGACAAGGACTGTCTACCTGCGAGCCGATCGGGCGGTCGAGTGATTAATCTTAGTTTTTGATTTCTTAATCCTGTCGCGGACGTGGTTGGATTTGCACACGAACCCGAATCCATCCTCCTCGGTATTGAGTACCGTTGATGCCTCAACGGACGGCAGTCCCTACGAGCGTCATACCTGTCGCCTAGTCTTCCCCCGACAATTCTCGATCGCTGTCCCAGCTTACGTATTGGTTTTACCTGACACCCACCGCTCGACCCCGCCAACGAGCGTTTCATCTCCTGGCCTCGACGCACAGAACGAATTCCGTCGGTCCTCCATCGCAATCGGTCACTCATTTGCCTGTCATCTGGGGTCCTTCTGTGGGCGTTTCCTCACACCTGACCTTCGAATTCCTGTCGAGAGTGTTTTGTTTTGTCAACACCTGGTTGTCTCGGGGCAAATTGCCGGTTAAGCCGACATCTGCCTGTTTTTGACCCACCACACCCCCCCGAAGCTAGACTTCCGCGCTCCGAAACAGTTTCTCTAGGATATACGTGCCCACCCACCTGAGGTGGAAGGATATAATCTGTAATGTTACCTGTGTCCCGACCCGAGGGCCATATGAGCCTCAACTACATTCCCACGACCCAGCCCATGTCCGGGACCTCCACGGGGCGCAGCTCGCCCAGTGATCTGTCGGCCTCCTCCGCCGTCAAGTCGCCGTTCGGATCCGCCAACAGCCTGAGTGGCGCCGCCGGTTCAATTGGAAGCGCGAGAATCGGGGCTGGATCCCCTTCGCACGGTGATATCGGAGCTCGCTTGTTTTCGAAACGGTAGGTCTTTCCTCTACTTTTCTTCGATTATCATTATTATCCTCGGTAGTCGACTGACTGATTTTTCACCGGCAGAGCTCGAGAGATCCAAGCAGAGGAAGGTGTCGCTCCGAGTATCTGGGGTCCCCCGACTAGTGGCCACTCCACCCCCCTGCGTGAAAACATCCCCGAATCCCCGAGTCAGGAAGGATTCCCAGATCTGGTCCCGACCTCAAGCGGGCCGGTGGGTAGCTCTGGTCGGAGGGCGAGGGCCGGTACGGTCCCCTCGAGATTCTCGCCCGTCAATTCCCTCAGCGAGGCGAATCTGCAGCAGCCCTACCTATCTCAATCCTCCCGGCCCACGCCGTCGACGAGCCCCTTCCGCCCTTCCGGTGTGCTCGATGCCGGTGTCAAACCCGGGCCCGCGGCGGGCGGCAACGGAACCGGCTCTCTGTCGCGTCTTCGTGCCGGTTCGATGCCCCAGAGGTCCAACTTCCTAGGATCATCCAGCCCCTTTGGCCACTCCCTGTTTTCGACCAACTGGTCCACCGGCCGCGAGCGAGCGACCACCCTCTCGAGTATCCGGTCGTCTGAGGGTCCCGCCTCCCCGAGCCAGTCGTCCTTCTCAAGAGATGGCCTGACCGATACCGATGTGAAAACGCTGGACTACTTGGGTCTTGCGGAGCCCCCCCAGCACGGACAGGGCCTCGTGCGACCGCCGATGGACGTCCTCCTTCAACAGCAGCAACAGCAGCAGCAACCGTCTTCGTCCCTGCCACCATTGTTGGCTGAGCTGGCGATGATGAAGAATAACAACCGGATCCGGTCCTACTCCGTCAATGCCAAAGAAAAATACGCGGATGACGAGGACTTGGAGTATGAGAACCGCTACTCGCAGATTCCCTCCGGCTCCGTCACGCCGTCCGCGGCAGCTACTGCGGCCCAGTTGGCTGCGACCCAGGCCCAGATCCACCAGCACAATCTCGCCGTCCAAGCGTTCACCAACCATCCGTCGATCAATCGCCCTCGTGCCCGGACGGCGGGGATTCTGGAGGCTCCTCCTCAGCGCTCGTCGATCCGGAACTATCTCGCCACCCCCTCGCGCCTCGAAAATAGCTTCAGCGCGGCCGATTTGAACATCGCCGAGCACGGCGAGTACGATGAACTGTCCGAGGCCGTGCAGTTGCTGCAGCTGGGAGGCGGTGCGCCCAACATGGGCATGCGCTCGGCCGGCGAGATGATCGACGACAGCAACCAGGATGGTCCAACCCGCGCCTTGTGGATCGGCAGCATTCCCGTCTCCACAACCGTGACTTCTCTGGAGGCGATCTTCAGCATGTATGGCAAGATCGAATCCACCCGTGTGCTGACGCACAAAAACTGCGGCTTTGTCAACTTTGAGCGCTTGGAGAGTGCCATCCAGGCCAAATCGCTGCTGAACGGCAAGGAGATCTTCCCCGGTGCGGGCCCCGTCCGCATCGGATATGCCAAGGTTCCCGGTACCTCTGCGTCTGGCACGCCCGGGGCCAATGGTCTCCAGTCTTCTCCGACCCCGGATTCCCACGTCAAGGGCGACAGTGTCGAACGTTCCGAGGGCGGGGCCGGTGTGCCGGAGATCCCTGCCCTCCCCGACCTCCAGCCGGAGATGGTGCAGATCGTCAAGGAGTTCGGAGCGACCGAGGAGGATGCGCTGAACATCACCGCCAGCATCCAAGGTGCCATTGCCTTCCGGACCTTTGAGGACGAGATCCCCCCCGTCCCGGAGCCCAGCCAGACGCGGATCTTCGATGCCCCCCGCCTCCGTGACATCCGCAAGCGGATCGACAACGGAACGTGCCTGCCGCAGGAGATCGAGGAGATCGCCATCGACATGCTCCCGGA